TGGGCTGGTACTGTCATGGTCGGGTGTGTAGCTTAGTCATTTTGACAGTCTCTGCTGGGTCTTAGCCAAGTGCTGTATTTAAATCCCAAGTTCTTTGAGGCTTTCCAGGTCAGAAAGGCAGAGTGCATTTCTGAGACGGGAAACTTGCTGTGTGCAGGACGCTGATGCAGATACCAGCTCTCACCTAGGGGAAGCTGCAAAACTGACAAATTGCAAAGAGACGATGAGCAAAGGACTGGGTGTGCATGTACGTTTGTGTGTGAGAAAGGGGGAAAGAGAGAGAGCACCTGTGTGAGGGAAAGCTGCTAAAGGGCAGAAAGCATTTGGGGAAACAGGAAGAGAAGACTGCGCAAGGGGGGAGCTGTGAGGAGGCTAACAAGGCAGCAAAAGTAAATTGCCTGCTTTATAAAAACAATAGATGCATGTACGTGTTGGAGGGAGAGGGTGCCATGGAGAAGTTCCTAGATCTGGTCAGGAAGCTGGCAAGAAAAAGCTATCTAATAAACACCTGAGGTTTATTCAAGAAGGGCATCTGAGCTTTGTTCCTCGCTGTTGAAGCCATCATTTAGAAAACAAGTGAAAATGAGTTTGGTGGTCTCACCTTAGTCCCACATGGCATTTTACACATCACACAACTGTACGGTCTTTACACATGACTGTTTCTGTAGCAGGAAAATCTGGATCATAATGATATAACGGTGCAGACAGAAGTCCACATTGAAGGGTATTAACAGAAACTGCCGCAGCATGATTTGCCTGCATTTTCCCTGACTGTAACTAATAAAAGCCCTCATCCCCAGCAGTATCAAATTTACTCAAATTAAAAAGTTGCTTCTCTATGACAACAGACTATTCTCCTTGTTCCACTTCAAAAAGTATTAATTATGGAACATCATGTTTTACAAATATTTTTCTGTATAAATGCTGCATTAAAGCGCTGTAATGTTGAGTAAACCACTATGTGTGTTTTGCAATATAAGGAAGACTGTTTTCTGTAATCTCAGAAAAGAAGTTGCATCAGTGTTTTATAAGTAGGTCAGTGACAATTCCTTATGTATTTCTTAAATTCACATGGACTCTCCAGGTTCCGGCGTAGGAATACATGGGTAAAACTACTGTGAATAAAATATTCATGTTTTTCTTTAAAAATAAATAGACCCAGATAAGCTGCAGTAAGAGAGGTAATGCTTTCCCAGTGCAGGATTGTCATCTGCATGCTTTAAAAGAGCTTTACTTGGTTCAGTTTATTAGCATATAATTAATATGAGCGTAATTAATATGGGATTCCCTTTGCAATGAAATCATTCATGAATTTGGGGCTTGTACCACAGCCCTTAACTCTTCATTTGGCATGAGAATTGTGAATATCAGTTGTTATTCAGAAGACCTACTTATTTTTTAGGATCTAGTAGGGGTTTTGGTGAGGGGGTGTGTGTCAATATCATGGTATCTATTTAATCCAAAAACCTAACTGAAATTGAAACACTGATGACCAGAAGACTGTTTATGTCAGTTGTACTACAGAGCATCAAAGTTGTGTTACACAGTGTGCTCCTGCTAGTGTGACTAAAGCATGGCGGGCTCACCTGCCTGTCAGGCAGGGACATCACCGCCAGGGCCATTGCCCCTTCCAGGAGATTTGGTGGTCGAGTCCAAGGTCAGCTCCTCAGAAAGCCTTTTCATTTGGACAAACTGTACATGTGGTACTGCTGACATATCCATTGCTGTGGAATTACAGGATGTCATTTCATCCTAGAGTTTCGTAAAGAGAAGGCTGTTTCACCGTAGATGTGGTAATACCTATGACCAGGTGGTATTCTGAAGAAAGTCACGGCAGAAGTCCCATAGTCAGCGCAAAAGATGAGCCTCGTCTCCTGTAGATGCTTCCTTGAGCAATCCTGCCTCTAATGTTTGTAGAGATCAGAACTATCCTAGTAGGGATCAGAACTATCTTAGTGGGGATCAGAACTCTCTTAGCTCACAAAAAAAAAAAAAAAACAACATACCTCTGAGACATCTAGACCCTGGAGAGCCTTGAAACTTGCTGAGAGCCTTAAAGGTTAGTATCTGGAATGGGCTGCTTTAGACAGAGACCTTGCTTAATATAGAAAGCACTGGAACATTGTGCTTTCACCAATATGTGGTTCTTATACCACTTTCTTAGGTCTGTCACCCTTTGCCATATGTGGAGTACATTATGGTGAGCCTCAATGTGATGTGTATGTAGATCTCTTGGCTAAAAGACATGGTTTCCATCAAAGGGAAGAGCATTCCAGCCAACTGAAGGCATAAAAACCATTTTCTTCTAGGTATTTCCATATACCCGGATTTGAGTAAGGACATGCCCAGAAAGACTGCAAAACTGTATGTTTCTAAAGTGATCAGAAAGTGATTCCATGGGTAGAAATACATACTAGGTTTAGCCAACTATTTGAAAGATCTAATGATCAATATCGTATTCCTTGTATTGGTAGAAATTCTCATTTTGCTGTTCACTTACTTCTTGGTTAGCTGAAATATGTCACTATTGACATCTCACATAGCAGAAACACAGCTCTCTGTAATGTCTATAATGTCTGCCCTGGCTCCACATGGATAAAAGGGAATAGATAAAGCAGGTTGGATGGCATTTTGAGTCATTTTTCATGTATGTGACATGAAGATGAGTGGCCACTCCCTGGAGATCTATTGAGAAAGAAATGGATTATCAAAGAGGCGGACTCCACGTGATTTACATGCTTACTCCACTCTGGCAGCCCCAGCTAATGGAAATTGTCACTGGCTGCTGGCAGATGCAAAGAATTCAAGGCAGATGTTTGCCTCTTTTGGTGTGTTCACTTGCGTGCCTGACTCAACTGGCAGTGGGGCTCATTATGCACCATTATTGCTCTAGATTTTGAACTTATTTCTTCTCAAATTAATTGCTTCTGGTTCAGTTATCTGTAACCAATATGATTGAAATAGCATGAAAACAATCACCGATGTGTGGCTGTTGTCCATTAACTCCCCCAAGGAAACACATCGTCTGTTAGACTGCTCTGGCAGCCAGGAGATTTCATGAGTTCGGAAGCACAGTTCCACGTCACCGAGAGGCTGGAGACAAAGCTTTGGTGCAGAAGAGGTGCTCGGCTGATTAGGATGGGGGTGGGATGTCACTATCTGCTCTGCCTATGCAAGATGTAACACCAGGGACACTGTGTGACCAGTTACACACCTGATACCAGCAGCAGGACTCCTTTTTTGGTTTTCAGACGAGTTGCAATGGGAAGTGGCTGTAGAAGCACCTCTCATGGGGCTGTACTTGCTCCACCACCTGGAAGAGAAGCCTGTAGCTCTTCTGAGGGTGACACGGGTGGTGGGGCACACTGGAACTGCGTTTTAACGCCCATTTTGGATTTGGACTGAGGGATGGATTGCATTTTCCTGTTTTCATCTTCAGACATTCCTCTCTCCTTTTTTTCTTACAGGAAAGAAGGTGTTTGCTTTGTACGTTGCTTGGGATCTCAGTTGGTTAATCTGGCCTGGAAAGGACATTTACCGTTGACTCCGATGGTCATCTTAAAAAAAAAAAAAAGGGAACCCCCCCCCCCTCTTTCTTTTAGCCTTTGGAATTATTATTGGGAAAGATTTGTAAAGGTTACTTGTAAAGATTTTATTATTTGTAAAGATCATAGAGGATGAATTTTGGGGAGGTCAATACACAATACTGGAATCACCAGTTGACATCAGGGTCTTACTGACATGCATGTGAAACTAGGAAAAAAATTAAAACCCTCAATCCTTTATTCTGTGGAATTTGACATACTGGCAACAAGACATTTCTGCCTTGCACATTGGGAGTCTATGAAAGGGAAGAATAAGGCTATTCTTAGCCCCCTTTATAGGCACACAAAGTAAGGCACAGAAATGTCACTTGCTGGCGGGGAGGAGGAGGGTTTGCTCAGGAACCGAGGACAGGACCTCTGTGTTACTGTAAAATCGTCCTTCACGACAGGGCAAAGGGGAACCCGCGGCTGACAGAGCCCCGTGCTAGCGGCTGTGTCTCCGCACACTCCCACCTTAGTCAACTACTGGAAACCTCCTGGTTTCTTTTTTCCCCCGAATTATTTTTATTCGCACTCAAAGACCAGGCTGAGGTTTCGCCAGAGCCTGGACGGCATTACCTCGGGATGGGAATTCAAACGGTGACTTCAACACGGGCGGACGACAACCAAGCGCAGAGGCC